GACTTTATCCCAGAGATGCAGGGATGGTTCAATATATACAAGTCAAAAAATGTCATTAATCATATAAATGGACTCAAAGACAAAAACCATATTGTCATCTCAATAGATGCAGAAAAGGCTTTTGACAAAATTTAGCATGCATTTATGTTCAAAGTCCTAGAGGGAATCGGACTAGAGGGAACATACCTCAACATAATTAAGGCTATATACAACAAACCCACAGCCAATATCATTCTAAATGGAGAAAAACTGGAACCATTCCCATTAAAATCCCGAACTAGACAAGGATGTCCACTATCTCCACTCCTTTTCAACATAGTGCTTGAAATTCTTGCTAGAGCAACAAGACAGGAGAAGGAAATTAAAGGAGTACTAATTAGAAAAGGTCAAACTATCCCTTTTTGCAGATGATATGATACTATACCTAAGAGATCCCAGAAGTTCCACCAGAAAACTCCTAGAACTCAACACTTTCAGTACAGTGGCATGTTATAAAATCAATCTACAAAAATCAGTAGCCTTTCTATATATCAATAATAAGCAATTGGAGAAAGAATACAGGGAAATGCTCCCATTCGCAATTGCTGCAAAAAAATTAAAATATCTTGGAATAAATCCAACCAAAGACACCATTTCTACAATGAAAATTTTAAATCGTTAAAGAAAGCGATTGAGGAAGACACCAGGAGATGGAAGGACCTCCCATGTTCATGGATTAGAAGACTTAATATTGTTAAAATGACCATCCTACCAAAAGCAATATATAGATTCAATGCAATCCCAATGAAAATCCCCATGACACACGTCACTGTATTAGAAAAATCCATCCTTAAATTCATATGGAGGCACAAAAGACCCCGGATAGCCAAAGCAACCCTGAGCACAAAGAACAATGCTTGGGGGGGGATTACTATACCAGATCTCAAAGTATACTACAGAGCCATAGTCATAAAAACAGCATGGTACTGGTGCAAAAACAGACACATAGATCAATGGAACATCATTGAAGATCTAAACCTGAGTACATGCAATTTCAGCCACCCAACATTTGACAATGCTGCCAAGAACACACAGTGGAGGAAAGACAGCATCTTCAACAAATGGTGCTGGCAAAACTCCATCTCTACATGTAGAAGAGTGAAACTAGATCCTTATCTTTTGCCTTGCACAAAAGTCAACTCCAAATGGATCAAAGACCTCAGTGTGAAACCGGAAACCCTAAAACTATTAGAAGAAAATATTGGCAGTAACTTACAGGATATAGGTGTAGGAAAGGATTTTCTAAATCAGGCAAAAGTTGCTCAGGAATTAAGGTTGACAATAAGTGGGACCTCATTAAACTAAAAAGCTTCTGTACAGCAAAAGAAA